GGATTTTATTCAGCAGCACACCAGATCTGTTGTGGTGGTGTAGAGGTCAGCTGACACCCCCCCTCTCCGCCCAAATCCTCTCCATTCATACCCTCCACCCCATGCAACATACAGCAGGGGAGTTCTAATAAGACACACACCCATTGCTAGCAGGAGCATGCACTTAGTACACCAGGTTACTTCTTATCCTAATACCGTAAAACAGCACGAGAGAGCGGCCCACCATCTTGACCCTTCCTGGTCATGTTGTGTACATGTAGGTGATGTCCTGTCTGCAGGTCATACCAGTCATACCACACTGCAGGTCATACCAGTCATACCACACTGCAGGTCATACCAGTCATACCACACTGCAGGTCATACCAGTCATACCACACTGCAGGTCATACCAGTCATACCACACTGCAGGTCATACCAGTCATACCACACATGCCTTGAATTACACACATTGCACCCTGTGTAGTCAATCCGTACTCAAGTTTCCTGCAAGCGGATGCGAGCTCCACACACTCACAGCATGCTAAGTGTGACCTTAGCACACTGAGGTTATCATACCGTACACATTTACTTAAGCTAGTTGCACTCGGCCATACGATTTTCCTTTCCCTGGCCGTAAGAATCAAGGTGAAAGGGGGAGATGGGGCGCTTCAGCGGTACGTTACGGCACTTCATTATGGATCAATACACGCGTGCTCCAGGCAATGTGAATACTAAGCAAGGGAATAAATCATCAGAGTACGTATTATAGGGGCACTCTGGGAATATTTTCGGTGGTGTGTTCTCTTCATGGGGGCCTTATATGGCCCCAAGGAATGGGGAATCGCGAGAACTAGACCCAAAAAGTCGATATATGAAGCCAGAGAGGGCCAAGTTTGTCTCCTCTTTTGATGGTTTTGATGACGTCACGTGTGATTAGTACTCAAATTCTCTGCATTTGAAGATCTTAGTTGTTTGAATTTTCTGGTGATGAAGAACGATGAGGGCCAGGAGATTGGAGCGGACGACTTCACTGGTCCGAGTACGAGGATCCCGAAATTCTCTATACGCCGTGAGGCATATGGTCAGAACAGTTTTGTTTAGACAAGCTGACGCAAAGTCGGGGTGATGTGTAACGCATGTCAAAGGGCTGTCAATGCTAATAGCTGCAGCGCTCTCTCGACAGCGAAGGTAATCGACTGCCCTCTGCATCACCCCACATTTCTGGCAGGAACACCAATCGTTATCTCCTTGTCGACCAGTGAAGTCGTCCGCTCCAATTTCCTGGCCCTCATCAGGCTGCGCTTCTACCAGGGGCACCTCAGGAGGTCCTTCAGGTTCCTTAGAGTATGGCCGCAGTTGTGAAGCTTGGGAATGTTGACCAAACATCGTTCTTCATCACCAGAAAATTCAAACAACTAAGATCTTCAAATGCAGAGAATTTGAATACTAATCAGTAATCACACGTGACGTCATCAAACCATCAAAAGAGGAGACAAACTTGGCCCTCCCTGGCTTCATATATCGACTTTTTGGGTCTAGTTTTCGCGATTCCCCATTCCTTGGGGGCCATATAAGACCCCCATGAAGACAACACACCACCGAAAAAATTCCCGGAGTGCCCCTTTAAGTGGGTTCCGTTGCACTAGTAATTCTGAGCAGACTGCAACTAGTACCAACTACCAACCTTTTTCTCCATAAGTGTTGCTGTGCGTATGTGTTGTTCTTGGTGAACTTTACACGCTTGCAAATAGCTCTTCTGGGCCGGTAGCAGCTGCAACAAAGAATACACAAACACACACACACACATACACACACACACACACACACACACACGCACACACACACACACACATACACACACATGTACATGTACCATGTATACGCCCGTCGCAAGAGAAGCACGTAAATCTGCAAATGCACTGGATGTGCACCCACAGATTGTCTCTGATAGCAACGATAGCGGATCTGAATCTGAATGAAACACATATGTGCATACAGACATCGCACAGTCATACTAATAATGATGCTGCCATGGCTTGACGCAGCATTTAGGACAGAATACCACCGTGGCTTAAAAATAGGGCTGAAACGATCATCCATTTAGCCCAATCGCTTACTCTTTATCATAACGATCGATTATTCGATTATAATCTTTAAGAGGCCGCACCTGGAATATGTGCGTGGAATGGCCAAAAGTGGAAATATGTACAAAATTTTGCACAAAAATGCTGTGGCATGATTGTCCACTACATATAATGGACAGCGATGTTTGAACTCGCGCTGCATGCACTGCGCCTACTACGTCCTGAGCGGCTGCGACGCAGCGCGTGCAGTGTGTAGTACTGTGTACTATAATACTCTGCGCTGCATGCGCTGCGCGTATAAGAAATTAAAATTTAATAAAAAAACTGTGAAAAGAAGAAGGACAAAATGTTACGAGTTATGACTAACTGTCCACCAACGTAACCAGATCTTATACAGTCAGCGAGTGCGACAAAAATGGCACAAAACTAACAAAAAAACGCAAAATAATCGTAATCGGTAATCTAAACGATTGCTCGATCGTTAGAGTTATCAAACGAGTACTCGATTATTCGGTATAATCGTTTCAGCCCTACTTAAAACAATACTGAAGAAACACACACATACACACACACACACACACACACACACAAACACGCACACTTACATTGCCCTTATCCGGTTTTGCCGACTGAAGTTGCAGAGTAATCATCTCCCGTGTTTTCAGCAAGTCTATCAGTTTCTCATGCACCGCATCACGTTCTCCTCTCAGTCTGGGTGCAAGGTCAAGCACAGAACAATAGAATGTGGTAATATATCATGATGAAGTCATTTACAATGGAATGTTTGAATGTTGTCTTGCAGCTCGCACATGTGTGTGTGTGTGTGTGTGTGTGTGTGTGTGCGTGCGTGCATGCATGCGTGCATGCGTGTGTGCGTGTGTGTGCGTGCATGTGTGTGTGTGTATGTGTGAGTGTATGTGTGAGTGCATGTTTGTGTGTGTGTGTGTGTGTGTGTTTGCGTGTGTGTGTGTGCGTGCGTGTGTACGTGTGTGTGTGTGTGTGTGTATGTGTGCGTACGTGTGTGTATGTGTGCTACAGAACACAACACTTCATGCACAGTACCACAAACAAAAGGAATATCCGTCATAAACTTACGTCTGTAGTTTCTCCTGATAAGCAGTTGATGCAGTAGTAGTGTCACTACCAGTAGCATCTTGTTTTTTCTTTAGACTGTTTATGGTATACTGGAAACTGTCCAGCTATACACACAACATGGGAAGAGAGAGAGAGAGAGAGAAGAGACAGAAAGACAGAAAGGAGGGGAGAGAATGAAAGTAAGAGAGAAAGAAACAAGAATGTGTAGAGAAGGGGTGAGAGTGAGTGGCAGTGATGACATGTTAGCACATCAACGCCTAGATGACATCATTGTCAACACCTACAGTCAGTTTCAAAAAGATTAGCAATCCTGGCGATCGCCCGGGGAGTTTGCCGTCTTACTGTATGCGCGCTCGAGAGCTGGCTGGAAAAACTCACTGTGAACTCGAAGAAACAATCCGCGCGAAAGCATGAAAAATGACAACTCACTCACATCGGTACATGTACGTCTGGTTTACAACAAACGAGTTCTTCCTCGTATCGATATATGGAGTCAGAGAGGACATGTCGAAAGTGTGGCAAATTTTGACGAGCGAAATGGGTCCCAATTCGTTTCGTGCCCAATTTCTTTGAGCTGCGATGCAATTTACTCTCACGATGTGACGAAAATGACATCGACACAGACTCATTCCCAAGGCCATGACTTGGCAAAGCTATCCGTGCGACTTCGACGACATTTTGAGAAAAGCAGACGCCTGTGAAAGCTGATAGAAGACGGCGTTGACTCCTAAATTCAAATAAATTGGCGATCTTGAAATACTAAAATAATTCTCAAAGAAAAATCGATCGATCGATGTGGCGTTGTATTCAACAACACGTAGCTACAGCGCAATGACTTCCGTGTTCACTCACACCGTTTCAGTGTTGTGGGTGTGTTCACATGGCGTGAACCAATCAAGTGTCAGTAAGTTCGGCAGGAAACACGAGCTCCAACAACACCAAGTCGCTTGGCGCAGCCACCTTCTTTGGCTTGTACTTTTTGTACCAGCGTGATCACCAAAACAATGAAAAAAAAAGTATGACTTGAAGATAGTTTGGGATTTGAACTCACAACTTCATGGTCAGCAGACAGCATTCATAACCACACGACCAAAAAGGAACGGATAAATCGTGGGTTTTGATAAAATATCGATACTGACATCCAGGGCAAATTGTAAACCATGGGGAAAGGCCGGAAACCTGGCCGAAATTCTAACTCCTTAACGGCTGGTCCAATTGTTCCGAAACCTTCACAGAACAATTTGCCGTGTCCTAACAAGCCATTCTATGTACTTTGTTGTCCAAATTTCCCTTATCTTCATACTTTTTAAGACCAAAACCTGATTCCTAATCTTTTTGAAATGGACTATAGGTGACATCATTGTCAACACCTAGGTGACATCATCGTCAACACCTAGATGACATCATCGTCTCAACCTTAGGTGATGGCGACTAAAATCCTACCCCTGGTTTTCACGCTCGAATGCAGCACGGACTTCAGTGGTCTCTATTTCGTAGAGCTACAAGCGCATTAGACTTCATATTACGATCGGTTGGGCAAGTGACTGTGGTCTCTATTTCGTAGTGCTACCAGCGCATTAGACCTCATTGTGATTGGTTGGGCAAGTGACTCTGACTCTGAGCACCAGTGAGGAGAGACTTAACAAGGTGGAACCAGCTAGCTATCTGGACAATGAGTACGTCTACTGCTTACGTACACATGTTAACTTGCTTCGACCTCCGACATATCTGGAAAGCTACACGCGAGCTGACACGAAACATTGACAAACCGTTGCGACCTTATACACATTTTAATAGGCTGTGCACCTGGGTGCATTGAGCACTCTCACAAGCTGGCACCACTCACTCCGAGTGTGGTCTTACACATCTCTGCACCTGGGTGCATTGAGCACTCTCACAAGCTGGCACCACTCACTCCGAGTGTGGTCTTACACATCAGCATCATGATCATGAGAGTGTGGACTTATACAGCATCAGCATCATGATCATGAGAGTGTGGACTTATACAGCATCAGCATCATCATCATCATGAGAGTGTGGACTTATACAGCATCAGCATCATGATCATGAGAGTGTGGACTTATACAGCATCAGCATCATCAGCATGAGAGTGTAGATAGTAGTACCTGTTCACTAGCTCTCCGTAGCAATCCTCGTTCATCAATATCATTGACTAGATGCGACAGGAATAGTCGTGAGAATAGACCGTCACGTAGTGAGGCCTCCACTCCCGGTAGTACTCGTGCTAACAAGTTGTCCACTGATGTAGCTAGCATACCCTCCTGGGACACACACACATATGCACACACATCCACCCACACACACCCGCACACACACACACACACACACACACACACACACACACACACACACACACACACACACACACACACACACACACACATACACACACGCACACACACACGCACTTGTACTTGTACTTGCTCACTGCCAAAACTGGTCACGTGGGTCTCCCCGGGAGAGGGGAGAGAGACTCAAAAGGAATCTTGGAAAGATGACTCAATTGGCCATTGAACCACCCAACGGCCGACACCCCCTGAAATCCCCAAACTAGGGTGGACTTGAAATGATCCCACTTATGGGATCACCGCACCTCAGTAAGTGGGTGAGGACAAGGTGCAGAAAAAGGATTGACGGCATCAGGGTATCCGTCCTGGGATCCAACTGCAGGTACCCCTGCCCCCAGTGAAGGTAATACTTGGTACTAGTGTGGGTGGCTAAATCAGAGTGGATCTGATAAAAGCTTCACTAGCACCATTGATTACACAAGAGTTTATCTAGCCAGAAGTAGTCCATGGTTAACAGGTATGCATACTTCAAATAGAAAGTATATGAACCCTGAAACCAACAAAGGTGGTAGGTACCACAATACACCTTCAAGCAGCCGAGCCCGTTCGCAACAGGCCCAACACTATCTGGCATAAGTGTACCCACCAACCGAACTAGCTGGCACACGTGCACACACACACACACACACACACACACACACACACACACACACACACACACACACACACACACACACACACACACACACACACACAACACATACACACACCTCAGACACACACACACACACACACACACACACACACACACACACACACACACACACACACACACACAAACACACACAAACACACACACAAACACATATACACAAGCACGCACACCCCCATGTACAGACATTGAAAGGGGTTGAATGCATGAGTTGTGTATGTGTGGGTTGTGTAACTGTGGGTTGTGCATGTTTGAGGTGGACTGTCGTATTGTATTCAAAAAGGGAGATGACCATGGTTAACGGCCACATAGGTTGTGAGATGCAGCACTGCCCTTGCACACAGGTAATACAAACTCTGATGTTGGCACTAGCAACTATGTCATCCCTAGCAACTATGTCATCCCTAGCAACTATGTCATCCCTAGCAACTATGTCATCCCTAGCAACTATGTCATCCCTAGCAACTATGTCATCCCTAGCAACTATGTCGGCACTCATGCAGGTATTGGCCACAAGAGGACTTGTGTAAGACCAGCATTTCATACTTGAGCCCTTCTGACAAAACTCACCAAACCAGCCAATCCTCACTACATGCATAACTCTACTAAGAGAAAGCAGACAAGTGGATAGCAGCTGATGATTACCTGTCTGCTTTGTGCAAGTATCTCTTCACTGAGTGATTTGATGGCATCCTGCTGCTGTCCTAATGCCCACTCCAGCATAGAACGGTCACTTGCAGCAAATGTTACATACGGCAATAGGTGAGAGTGAAGGATTTGAATCAATGTCTCGATATGCTGCAGAAACACACGGATAAGCATACAAACGTGCGGAGGCATAGAACAAAATTCACTTTTGCACATACAGGTGCGTAGGCACATGGGGAAAGAGAACTGACTCAGCACTGGTTGTTTTTATTTGTTTTTACAACAGAATTTAGAAGGTTCATCATTCTGGGCTGACAGGACAGAAATGGGCTGTTGGACCCTGCAGATACGGGAGAGAAATGGGCCACTGGACCCGGCGGTTAGGGGACAAACATGGGCTGTTGGACCCTACAGTTACGGGACAGAGAAGGGCTGGCTAGTAACAATTCTACAACAAGTTCATCTTACATGTATTTTGCTGATCAGGCGTCCGTATCCATAGCGTTCCTCAATCCAGCGTGTATGTTCCGGAGTGTCTTTACTAACCACTTCCTTCAGTAACTGTTCACACAGGTGAAACATCTACAGAATGGGCATGCATGGATGCCCGTGCATGTACACGCACACACATACATCCACATATGCACGCACACACATACATCCACATATGCACACACACACGCACACGCACACACACATACACACACACACACACACACACACGTGCAAACAGAATGTCCAACCTAGCCATCACACGACAAAAGAAATTGCAACTCGCAGTAAGAATGGCAACAGAAGTGTGGCAACAGAAGCAGTAGTAGAAGCAGTAACGACCACAGCAACCCCAGCAGCAAAGATCTCGTTATCAACGACTGTGGTGGCACTAGCACTAGCGACTGTAGCAACAAAATGGCATCAACAGCGGCGACAGCAGCAACAGAAGTAGCTGCAGTAGGAGCAACAGCATCATCAGCAGCAGCTGTAGTAGGAGCAACAGCAGCAGCAGCTGCAGTAGGAGCAACAGCAACAGCAGCAGCTGCAGTAGGAGCGGCAGCAGCAGTAGGAGCAACAGCAACAGCCGCAGTAGGAGCGGCAGCAGCAGCGGCTGCAGTAGGAGCAACATCAGCAGCAGCAGCTGCAGTAGGAGCAACAGCATCATCAGCAGCTGCAGTAGGAGCGGCAGCAGCAGCAGCTGCAGTAGGAGCAACAGCAACAGCAGCAGCTGCAGTAGGAGCGGCAGCAGCAGCTGCAGTAGGAGCGGCAGCAGCAGCTGCAGTAGGAGCAGCAGCAGAGGCTGCAAGTGGAGCAACATCAGCAGCAGCAGCTGCAGTAGGAGCAACAGCATCATCAGCAGCTGCCGTAGGAGCGGCAGCAGCAGCAGCTGCAGTAGGAGCAACAGCAACAGCAGCAGCTGCAGTAGGAGCGGCAGCAGCAGCTGCAGTAGGAGCAACAGCAGCACCAGCAGCTGCAGTAGGAGCAACAGCAGCACCAGCAGCTGTAGTAGGAGCAGCTGCAGTAGGAGCGGCAGCAAAAATCCCCTCAGGTTACATACTTAGTGTAATGGTGACTACAAAAAACAAACTTGAATTACGTATTTTCTGTATTTTCCTCTCTGGTAGACAATAACTTTAGCATGGCCATGCAGTGTTGATGACCTTGATCAACAGATAACCTCAACTTGCGGTTTTCCCTTACAGCACACATGACATAACTATCAGAGGACGTACTCACCTCATAGACTACGGACGAGTCATACTCCAGACTATTCTCGACATTGGCAAGTAGATCATTGAGTGTAAGGATGTGTTCATGCGCAAGTAGACCTCCCATCACATCACTCTCACTGCTGCTGCTGTCACCATCACCAGCAGCAGCAGCAGCATCACCACCACTACGACTACTGCCTTGCTTTGCAGGTATAGCAATGCCGGTAGCAACATCAGCAGTGCCGCTAGTAACTGTGTTATCACTAGCGGTTGCCGCGGAAACGACATGAGCAGGAGCAGCAGCAGACGTATTACTTCCCGTTGACAGGTTGCTGGCAATGCTAGTATGGCTGGAGAATGTACTTTGAGCACTGGAACATTGCGATAAACTGCTTGTCAATTCTGAACGCCATAAAAAACAAACAGGGAGGAACACAGAGCATCTAGAAGCAGACAATGGAAATAGGGTGCCTTCAACTAGTCCAAATACATAGCCAACGCAGTTGGCGTGATTTGGAGTGTTTCAAGGTACGTGTGACAACAGCACAGCCCTGTCGGCATCGACACCATTGTCTGGGTTTGTTCATGCGTTGAGCCAATTTTGAAAAAAGTCAATGTGTAATATGGAAGTACTGCATTACATGATAAAGTACAGAATTTAGATAACAAAAGCTGCATCACATGCATGTGCATGTATGATGTGCATGTATGATCTCCCAATACAGCATGCGCATTGGTGACTTTGTCATTATCCAAACATTTCCCTTATCCGAACCCCATCTGAACGGTGTCCGTCCCGGAGGAGTCGAATAATCAATACTGTACTGTAATATCTGTACTCATTAAATGTAATATCTGTATTACTTACTGTCTGTGGAGAAACGAGAGTGAAAATCAGCTTGATGTTTATCATCTCGTAACACATCCATCTGTGCTCTACGAAGGCCTGATGCAGCGCTGTTTGAACGTGCCACGGCTGCTGAATTGCCAGCACCAGCATATCCCTGTGGACGCTTTCCAGCCGCTACAGATGCAGACGCAGCACTCGCAGCACTTGCAGAGGCAACGGCACCTTGTCTTGGTAGGGTGTTCGACAATCGGTGATCCATGCTGTCGTGCACGTTACCATGGCAATGTCCTCCTACTGTAGTATGCGTCTCCCATGGTGACTGCTGGGATGGACTTGAGGAACTTGTCTCCGCAATGGTTTCCAAGGGAACGCCTGCAGGGGCGTACATAGGGCGGTTCCCGGGATGCCCGGGAACCAGTAAAACAAATTCGATATGGGTAGAGAGAATTTTTTGATCCAGTCCCAGCGCTCACAGACTCACAGTGCAAGTGCATGCAGTGCATGTCTGGAGTCCGCCTGCCGGTCCGAGGACGGTGACTAGCCCAGGTGTGAAAGTGGTGCTGGGAGTGGGACACAGCGTAGATCTACTGAACTGGGCCATGCCTGAACCCATGATGGGTTCAACAAAGTCTCTAGTCTAGTTACATCGCCGGATTCCTCGATCTCAGAGTCAAATTTTCTTTTGGAGTTTGTTTTGACAAAGTTGGTCGTGTTTTGACGATGCTTTCGCTTTGTGGAAAAGAAAAATGAAGCGTCGACATCCAGAGGGCCAGCGCTCTATTCAGATCTATTTTGAGCTGCAGGCAAAGTGTGTAGCCAGTGCTAGTGGCGAAGGTCAAGCGATAGATGAGAATGCAGACGCAAGTGAAGTATGCATGCAACGAGCAGCGCTGAGGAAGAAATCGTCGGCGAAGCTGTAGAGCGACCGTTGTTGGAAGCTGCTGGATCATCCAAAACTTACTTCAATGACATGGGAGGGTGTTGGAAGGGATTCTGAAAGTCGACGTCCACAGTGGAATCCAGTCCCCCGAAATTTGCTGGACACGGAAAAGATTTCCGTCATCGACAATCGTTGTGCGCCACCGCAGGCGAAGGATTTTATTTCCTGTGCGTGTCCAGATGGATGGCAAACAGCGCCACTTTCAACTATCCTTGTTGGGGGAGTTACCCTGGATAGTCTTTTGACAGGCATGCAATGGTGGCTTCTGCTTGGCCTGTGTGATGTTTGCTCCAGATGATTCGAAACTTAGGCAGCTTTCAAGACTGCATGCAATCGTCATGCTGACCAAAACATCCATAAAACGGGGAAAAGTTCAGTCTTTTAAAATCATAAATGCGTAGCAATGACATCGTCCAGCAGCTTGTGGATGGCAATTTCACCCAGTCTGAGGAGGATATGCAGAAACTCTATGGGGTACGAAAAACAGCACTTCAATTGTGTGTAATGGTGGTTCATCAGTTGGCATGGGAACCACTCCTGGAGGCGAGCGGCGTACGCCCCTGGCCTGTATGCCAAATAGGGAAGGCAGACACAACGATATAATTATATATCTACCACTATACTTTAGTGACCACCACCATAACGTGGGATAGCGACAGCAGACAAAGCACCACCATCACATGGGATAGCGATAGCAGACAAGGCACCCCCATAACATGGGATAGCGATAGCAGACAAGGCTCCACCATAACATGGGATAGCGATAGCAGACAAGGCTCCACCATAACATGGGATAGCGATAGCAGACAAGGCTCTTCGAGTGAAAATTTCACTCCAATGGACTTGTGAAGAAACGTTTTGCAGACAGTACAGCAACAAGGAGGAGACTAATTTGGCTGTAAGCATTTCCTATTTGCTAGACTGATATCGACCATGATACATGTCCTGACAGGTAAGATCCCGTGTGCAGGATGTTTATAAGCACTCAAACTGGCAGGCTGTACAGTCGGTATTGCCGGCCATGGAAAGTGTGAACACTTGCAGGCACACTGCATAGCCCCAGTACGGGGACACTATGCAGTGTGTGATGCATAGCCACAGTACGGGGACACTATGCAGTACGGGGACACTATGCAGTACGGGGACACTATGCAGTACGGGGACACTATGCAGTACGGGGACACCATGCAGTACGGGGACACTATGCAGTACGGGGACACTATGCAGTGTGTGATGCAAGCAGGTACAAGTACTGCACAAGTACTGCACATGTACTGACTGGCCTTGAGCGGTCTTGGCTGTACTGCACATATACTGCAGGGGTGTCGGAAGGTATTCGACATTGGTGCGGCCATATAAAGAGGCGGGGGTCGGGGGGGGGGGGTATCCCCCAGGATTTTTTAAATTGGGTCCAAATAGCCCATAATTATAGTGCTTTAAAATCACAAGATGAAATTATTGGTGCAGCTTTGGCCGCAACCAAGAGGATATGTGGGCGAAGTGGTGGCCCGCCGATGTGAATGTACATGTATGGGTGAAGTGGTGGCCCGCCGATGCGAATGTACATGTATGGGCGAAGTGGTGACCCGCCGATGCGAATGTATTTGCTTGATGTGTTCCTAAACACGTCAGGTGATGCGACCGGTAATCCGGAGGATAACTTTACTTTTGTTTGGCGTCACCTGCAGTTCCGACGCCCCTGTAGGCCTGTGCTGTAGCCTGTACACTAGCCTGTACACTAGTCACTGTACACTAGTACACTAGTAGTAGTGTAGTGCAAGCTTACCATCCATGTTACTGATCACATCATCGTCACCACAGCAACCACTGTCATGACTACCCACTGCTGTCTTGGCAAGGGATGCGGCGGGTGATGTCGTTCGTGATCTGAGAGGGGAGTCGATTACCCAGGTTAACATGCTCTTTCTTACATCCACCGATAGATAGTCGAGTAAAGACACCTACAGCAGCAGCAGCAGCCACAGCCAAGAGTACAAACAAGCAATCAGACATGTACACACGAAATTGTGACGGAAACAAACACAGAGACTGATAGCAGAGTTCATGTCAGGCTGACTAGGTCACAACTGTGAGCAATAGATGTGTTGGAGCTAGGTGTCAGGTCGTTGAATGGCTCAGTACCCTTGTCAGTTTGTGCCATATTGTCGCACTATCAGACTGTTTCTTATCTCGTTCCCCGTGGTGGCATGTTTGTCATAACTCATGACATTCTGGTCCTTTCTCTTATACATGAACAATCAAAGGTATAATATCACCACTCCAGATGTCCTGCATGCAGATAGAACCTGCAGGAAGGCAGGATATCCTGGTACAGTGCCAGGCAAACACAACTGACACTCAGCGGCATCAAGTCTGTACTGAGTTGACAGTCATATCCATGTGCACCCGTACAGGTTTGTGCACAAGCAGCAGATAGTGGAAATAGCGTTCTTCACAGTGACCCATATGCGATGCACAAAGGCAATGAACATTACGTATTACATTTCACACTACCGGTAACCATGGTAACTCTCTTGCTGCGTTTTGCCATACAGGTAATGACATTGCAAACTGAAGTACAAAAATGGTAACTTGAATAATTCTAGAAATTTCATTGAAATGTTTCACCAGGAAATACCTGGATCAGGAAATGCATGCTCAGGAATTGGAAACATGTTTTAGTACACGGCACCACTATACTAGCGAGATTCCCAACATAATACACATTACATGAGGCATTCACTCGGCTAGTGCTGAAGACAAGAAGACCTCCACCACATCCCCAACACCACCGCTCCCTGGGTTCTTTCTGATAAGGGGGGGGGGGGGGGGCATGGGCACTGGTTTAAAATGCTACTTTGTTAGAGTTGCTACTGGTCTGATTTGTACTCAGACTCGAGTCATGGAGTCAAAGATCTAATTTGCCCTTTTTGTTCTCGTATTCATGCTCAGTTCCATACAACACATGTCATACTAAAGGATCGTTCAAGTCATGCGAAAACACCAATCCCCCCACCCCACGTCGCATAGTGCATTGCATCGCAGATATGAAAACACCAATCCCCCCACCCCACGTCGCATAGTGCATTGCATTGCAGATATGAAAACACCAATCCCCCCACCCCACGTCGCATAGTGCATTGCATCGCAGATATGAAAACACCAATCCCCCCACCCCACGTCGCATAGTGCATTGCATCGCAGATATGAAAACACCAATCCCCCCACCCCACGTCGCATAGTGCATTGCATCGCAGATATGAAAACACCAATCCCCCCACCCCACGTCGCATAGTGCATTCATGCATCGCAGATATGGCGTTGCACATTTGTGGGTGGTACAGTCAGACCTCGTTTATCCGGATCCCTCGCCATCTGGTAGAAAATTGTTGGTTACCGATTTACAGCATATGCCATGCACATAATACAGTATGTGTGTTCGATTATCCAGTTCCCTCGCCTATCCGGATATTTTCTGGAAAACGGGTGTGTACCATGTACATGACTGTAGACCATGATTTAAACAGTGTTGTGCCATGTACTGCATGTAGACCATAACACGGTGAAACTTCTCTATAATTATCACCATCTGTACTACAGCTGTACTACAGCTGTACTGGAAATCAACTTGACAATAATATTCAGCGCATGTTAATTCTCGTCTAATTTCGGGTTGATAATTTGAGGGCTAAAATTAGTAATAGTATAATATTATGTACCGGTGTGTAGATCTACATAGAATGACCACTTCAAGTGTATTGAAATAAGAGATCAATCATGACATGAAAATAGTTACACACTAATTATTGGCATGAATATAACGTCATGTATCGTTTCGTGGACGAGTGACAACCACAACAATGTCCACATTCAAAGTCCAGTTCTGCAACAGGAACATTTCTCTTCCCCTTTAAAAGTATCTATTTTCAGATTGACCGACTGGTCATTCAGTATTCGTCGCCAAACTCAACAAGTGGATAAGTCGAAACTTCCAGCAGCAGCGCGGCAACATCATCAGTATCCGAGGGTTAGCTTACCTTATACCATGGCGTTGGCTCGACATTGCTACAGTCCAACGTCACACTTCCAACTCGTACCTCACATCCACTGCGTATTTCCACATCGATCCATACACGTTGTTCGCCATCCGTTAGTACAAGAATCATATTCGCTGCAGCGCTTCACTAGCCGCACACATCTGTAACTGCCAGACCTAGACACCAAGGAAAGTCAACGCTAGCGATTTACAACTGCAGCTCGTGTTCACAATCGGCTGCTCTCGCAATGGTAGACTGCGTGTGAGGACAGCATTCTGCCGACGTTTCCTTCAGTTCAGACCATTGAGTGATCGAGTCGCACGCTTTTCTGCCAAACGACCCCAGGGCCAAAGGCAAAACTGCAGCGATGCCACTCTGGCACTACGCACTACGACCTAGACAGGCACTAGGCATCGCTCGGTGCTCGATAGGCTGTATCCTGGTACATCATGTACATGGTATCAGCCAAGAAATATCTGGTTGCACTTGCAGTGCATGCATGCAGTGGATCCTCTGATCAGTGACTGTACAACCATGGCACAACGGACACGTAGATCTACGTGCACGTAGATTGAAGACAAAAATCTGGATTTATTTTCTGAAATTATTACGAACATAACATCTTGGTGCTTATCCGGATATCCGATCAATGAACATCTGGTTTGCACGGGACAATAACAATTGTAACAGCTGTGCTAACAGTCCCCGTGTCTCACCATCTGTTACTTATTGGGATGATAAACAGCCTGTCCACTCAGACGACTAGTCGACTCGCTTCTTGTGAACTGCGGAAGGGTAAAAATAAAAAGAGGAAACGTGGACTCGACTCTGCTCATCTGCGTGCAATCGCTAGTCTGTGGGCGCTGCTAGGCCTCGCGACGACACAACGTGCAACGTCTGCACAAGCATAACCCCGGGTTATGTACTCTTGCCGTCTTGGGCAGTTGAGTTGGGGGGACTGCATGTAGTAGAGTGGAAAAATATTGGGGAAAATATTTATTGTGTTTGCAGTTTCTTTCTTTCAATTCATATCTGGCTTGCAAGTGTTGAGTTTCGGAGAGAAAAGAGCAGTAGACCTACGTAACCATGGTAACGTGGCATGTGGCCTCTAATTTCCCGGGCTTGAAAGTGATGACGTCAAAACGGCCAGGGAGTAGTAAGTTGACATCAGATTTCTATTTTTGGATCCACTAAGGTGTGACTTTGCTATTGCCTAAGTATGTGGGTGCATAGCAACCCACTCATGTCGCATGCAGGTGTGACTTTTATTTCGCCACCAGTTGTAACCCCGCCCCCAGTAGCCAAATCAGTCAGTTTCACTGGCTACATCACCATGCTGTGGGTAAGACCGCTTGAAATGTGCTTGGATCCATACAAAAACTGGATCCAAGTGGATCCAGTTTTTGAATTTTTGAAATTATTGCTATGCTGTGACGTAGCACTTTCAAGCCCTATACACTGTACAGTACTTTGAAATTCTCTGTGAAGTCCAAATTTGAAATTGCAGTACTTTGCCCGAAAAAAGAGGCTTTGTTAGCAGAGTACGAGTCTGCAACCGATTGTACAATGTTGTTGTTGCTATTGTTGTTGTTTGGCTTGTAGTTAGACAATACCGTACATGACATTCTGCAGTGAAATGTTTATAAGGTCGTGTCCGCTGTTACACCCAGAAACAAGACAAGGTCGTGTCTGCTGTTACACCCAGAAACAAGACAAGGTCGTGTCTGCTGTTACACCCAGAAACAAGACAAGGTCGTGTCCGCTGTGGACTCATCGCGTGACTGCATTATGAAGTGGTATAATATGAAGCATACGGCAGTAGCAATAGTAATGATCATTGATCACATGTACTTGTAGAAGTGACTACAGGAGTACATAGCCAGGGCCACTGCTGCTGCTGCAGTGGTCATCTGCCAAGTACAGTGTACAGTACTAAGCTGATTTCACATGCACGACCCGCGCACACAAGTGCACATACACACACACACACACATATGACGCACAGCATGCACTACACTCAGCACCGTGACAGCACACGTAGATGTGTGCCGCGTGCGTGTGTGTGTCAAAGCGGGTGGGTAGCCCTTTGGAGTTCATAGCCGAAAGTGTAGCCATCGGCTAATCATAGTTACATTATTACAAGTAATAGAATGATAAACAAGATACTTCAAAAGTAAAAGGCAAGACAATCTTAAAAAGAGATATAAAAAAATCTACCCTACAGAATGAAGAGATTGAAGTTTAGGATTAAAAATAGATATTATGACAAAGATTTTCTGGTTTGTCATAGTGTCAAGTCAAGATAGCTCACTGCTGAGCGTGATGCTAGCAGAAACAGACGTATCAGCAGCATCAGTCAGCAACAGTCAGCAATCGGTGCCAGGAAGAGAATGTGCACACAGTGATACACGGCTACGGCGATAGCACCTATGCCACAGAAAGACTTAACTCCGCGCGCCAAGCATAGCCGAGCATAGGCAATGATATGAAAACACTCTCTCTCTCTCTCTCTCTAGAATAGACTGGATACATACAAAGCTTATAATCGAATGAAACAACAAACGCCAGCAAGCATTCAGAAACTCAGCTCAACAAAGCGTGTCTATTACAGAACAACAACAACTACAACCCAACCAATACTGTACATATATGTACAATAAAGAATATGGAGAGCGCAACGGCTCATCTCAACGTGAGGCTAGAGAAACACAACCCACAGTATCTCTATATGTAGCCCTTGGTATGGCTTAGGGAGAGCTCTAGTGTATGTGTGTGTGTGTGTGTGTGTTTTTTGTGTGCAACACACATTGCTCTCATATAAGGACTGCCGGCGGTAGCTAAATTCCACCCCAGTACTCTCTACAGTGAATGGTAATAGTCATGTAACGGTGACGGTTGATTAGTGCACTACTTGTTTCCATAGCAACAGCAAAGCACTAACATGGTGGTGGTGTGTAACAACCTGTTGTGTTGACGGCAGCAGCAGCAGCAGTTCAGCACAGCTGAGCTGGACAGTCTCAATTCCCGCACAAGCAGGTAAACACACTCATCCGGGGTTGATACCGGCACTGATACAGTGGAAGAAAAGCCGACAGTTTGTCCTGCCACACTGATTGCCGCTGGGACACTTGTTCAGGGCTAGTTTTTCATGATATCTTCGTTGTACTCTCCAAACTCCCATATTTGGGAAGGCAGATTGGCATTACATGGTGCTACTTTCAGCAATGTGCTGCTGCCTGCTGCTTCCCGCTCAAGACACTTGCCTGTGGCAGCATGCTTGATGACGGTGCCCCGGCCGCTGTGGTCCCACTTCTGCGATTGGTCTTGATTGCAGTAGGTGAGAATGACTTGAGTGCCACGTGGTATAGCACAGCTATCGACACGACGCAACGTACGGCTCTTAGTGTACCAGAAGGCTTGATTGGATCCCATGCCGTGGCATTGGTACACACCGATCGGCTCTCCACCGTCGTTCTTGCCCAGCGTATCAACACACAGGTTGGTGGCAGGATTCTTGATGTCGCCCCAGGCTCGCATGCGCTGCTTGTCGGGAACGTAGAGTTCAGGATACACCGTGTCCAAATACCACTTCATAGACTTGCACTTGAGATTCTTGCGAAGATCAACACGTTCGCTTATATCCCCATAGTTGCGCTTGCGTGCATCCGGTCGCAGGCGATAGTAGATCTCCTTGTATTCATCCAACCACACCTGTACAAGAGAGTATGACAGGCAAACAAACACAAGCAGCCAGCGGCGGCAACAATGACACACACACACACGCACACACACACACACACACACACACACACACACACACACGCATGCACACACACACGCGCACATATTCACGCATGTGCAAACAGCAGCAGCAGCAACAGAATAAATGAGCAATGAAACGAGCAGCAAAGCATCAATAACACCGGCATAGATACAGTAAAACCTGTAATGGCGACCACTTTTCCTTGTCACGGACGCATTCACATTCAAAACAGCTCGGATAAGGCGACCACTCGCCCAACGCGACCGACGACCACCCACCCGCGTTGCACACTGCTAGTACCGTAAAATCCCGCCAGAGCGCCCCTGCCTCCTCGACGCTTCAGGTGGGGAGGGGCGGATGGGCGAGTCCTACTTGCCGCATTCAGTACTACATGAAAAAGTACTCCCCCTACGAAAACTGTTCGTGCATCTCGTACACCGACCAAAAGTCAAGAGCCAGGAGTAGTACAGACCCGTCGAAACTCAGGGTTTGTGCGATCCCTGGTCAAGAGGGTGGGCAACGTTGCGTACATTTCCAACGGGTTTGGGCACGTGTCTGCAGACTGAGTGCAGTACAGTACGGCATCACAGAGTCATACGAGGATACAATCAATCACTTCCCTGACAAAAAGTCAGGGAGGGGCGGATGGGAGAGACGGGGCGCCCTGGCGGGATTTTACGTTACATGTAAATGTACGCATTGCATGGTGCACCATGCATGGTAGGTCTACACATCAGTGCAGGAACTGTGTAGATGTACATGGTGATTGCACCACAACTGACAGGTCTGAGGACCCCAGGCACATGAGTCATGCTAGAGAGGAGAGTAGCATAGCAGTAGGTGGTGCAGCAGCGTGATACACTGATCAAACTGAGATATATCACATGTATTATGAAGTGGGTATGACCACGTCACCCACTCAACCTGGATAAGAAGACCACCTGGCCAAGGTTACCACGTTTTCTCGTCCCTTGAGTGGTCGCCTTAGACAGGTTTCACTGTACAAGCGTTAGTGACCCATCTAGGGAATACACGGAAGTGATGTCTGCAACGGCTCCATAGCCATTCGACAAAGGGAATGCCGGGAAGCAGTTAACCCTTTACCATCCGACCAAATTTCCCCAGCAGTCCCAAATGCAATAATTCTCACCTTATTCTGAGAATATCTTCGGCTCTAATCAACCAATTTTCACAATCCTGGGCATTCTGGAAAGCTCTCCACGAGCTGCGTACATTGAGCTCAAGCAGGACACTACCGAGATCACATATCCAGCGCCAGGGAGCTTCAAATACACCCCATCGCTGGATATACGAGGAAATTCTCTCCTCGCCAGCCATTTCTCGCTCCTTCATCGTAAACATTCCAATTTTTTTTGCTTGAGTTTCTTTTCATGCTGCCCACGCGCTCAAAGCATGCCAAAGTGACTCAGCATGTCAGGAGAGGGGAAAACCCCCGCTCAAGGTCAGTCACTCGTAAAGAAATTCGACTTTTGCCGTAGCTGAAATGTCGAGCGAAATATCTTTGGAATGCGACATCGCAGCTCTTTACCGATTGATGCAATGGAAAGCTGGGCTCTTCGGCTTCTTCCTAGATACTTAGTTCTTTAAATTCCGACAAGAATTGATCGAGTTACGAATGTTTTAGTGTATGCTTGTCCATCGATCTCTAGAGATCGATTCAAGTACACACGGATGGTAAAGGGTTAACAGCCATTCAACACAAGCGATGTCCCCAAGGGGTACATGGCCTGTTAATACAATTACCCACCTCACCTCTCTATCATCATACATCTACAAATAGTACCTTGCACAATTTCATTGAAGAATTTTTACTGGTTCGAATCCTGGTGGTGACAGTCAATTTTCTCTTCAGACTTTTCCCGTTTGTGTCTTTCCCCGAAACCAGAATCGTTGTTAGTCATGCACGTACATGCATGTACATGCACAGACAGAGAGACAGACAGGCACAGACCGAGGGACAGACATACAGATAGACATACACACATACACACACACAAACACAGGGTCATGAACACACACGGGTCACAAACCTCGGCAAGACGTAGAGCATTGCGAGTAGTTGTCTGATCGACACCGTTTGGAAATGAGATTGGCGACTGACGTCTGTATACGTGACCAACACGACTGCAAGGCACTATCTCCAACCGGCCACCACACTGCCAAATACGGAAACTCATCTCAAGATTCTCACTGCCCCAGATATCCATCTCGTAATCATACTTGCCGAGATGGTCAAAGTACGATCGGCTGATAGCGAACAGCCCTCCGGCCATTGTGGGTGAGCGGAATTCGGATGTCTCATCACGCACGTCCAAGTTACGTATGCGATCTGGGATGGACTGCCATCGGAAGATCAGATTCCAATTGAACGATCCCATGACGAACGCATTGCCGACACTCTGGTAGGTGAACGTATCTTGGTTGACGATATCAATCACCGGACACACGACATTGCTCCAGTCGGCTTTGATCCGCGCTGCCAACGGTTCATACCAGCCAATGTTTGCTTCAATATGACAGTCTAGGAAGACGAGCACATCACCCTTAGCCTCAGCCGCTCCGGCCATACGAGACCGCGTCAGACCCATGCGCTTAGCTTGGCGAATAACACGGACGTTAGGCAACTTGGCGACGTAATCATCCAGCGGTTTTCCCAAATGTTTCTTATCACTAAAGTCATCCACGAGGAGTACTTCTTCCAGCAAGTGTGTCGGTGTCCGTCTCAGCAAGCTGATAACACTACGCAGCAATGCCGACCATGCCTCATTGCGGAAGATGACAATGACTGAACACTTGGGTAGCTGTGGAGGGTAGTTGCGGGTAGCGCACTTGTAGTGACGAGTGTCTGGAATATCACGATCTAGCGCAATGCGATCCGATTTGTACTTGTTGAAACCATAGTGCGAGTAGCCTTCCTTGGTTTGTTTCTCACGTTGTTCATCAGTCAGCTGCGGTTGTGGGTCTGAATCCCACGCGGGTGCCTTCATGTCAGGCCCTTGCTTTGCTACAACGAGTAAAGATTTGACTGGGGCGTTCCAAGACTGATTGCGGATAGCTGCAGGCCTGGTGACGTCATCCTTGATCCGCAACTGCCCATCCCCATCACCAGCTACGAACAATGAACCAGAGTGCTCCAACGTATCACCTTTGTTGTGCAAGGACATGGCAAACCACGCCAGACCTATAAACCATGCTACGCACAAGACGCCGATCAGCGACGACAGGTTACACCGTCGTTTCCCCATGCCGCACAAAACAAACTAGCAGTATCACGGAATGTATGTGCACTATCACCAGTTACACGAACACGACATAAACTTCCTCAATGCACTATCACCAGTTACACGAACACGACATAAACTTCCTCAATGCGCTATCAGCACCATGAGTTACACTGAGAGCATGATTATAAATCTATCACCTGTCCAAAGCCTGCAGTAGTATGGTCGACTGAGGAAACTCTCAAACAAATACTGAATATTTCGCCTAGCTGGCAAAGAGACTTCACAACTGTGGACGGAATCCAAAACTCAACGGCTCACTGGGCACAGTCATAAATGCGACTGAACAGATTAGGTCAATCGCCTTGTTGCTGTGTCGTTGGTATTTCTTCAACAACTGTTTCACCGGATACTCGAGTAGTAGTCTCCAAGCAAATATACCATGCATGAATTACACAAAACAGTGAAAATGCAAAAGTACAGCAAATCAATGATTATTCCGCTGAGAATTTGAAACAATGAAAAAAAGTGGCATGCCATGCATGCGCTTTGCTTGTCTTGTGATCACATGCTAAATCCAGTGGCCACTGGCCATATCATGTGCATGTGATATGATGACGTGTGTCCCTCCACGTCACGGTACGGGTACGCGGGTACCGGGTACGCGTAGATCTACGCCGCTCGTACCGGTACGCGTGCGGGGCCGGATCCCGCCGCGCGCGGGGGTACGCCAGCCTAGCCGCGAGTCTAGTCACGTGCGCGGTACAAAAATGTCCGGGTAAGCCTCTTGTACGGGCAAAGCGCCGTGCGAAAACTCTCTAGTGGCACATGTTTGCCGCACGCAGGGCGTTACATGCAAAGTCGCACAGGAGCCGTTACACAGGTTTCTATATTGCCGCAGTCCTTTTTTTGCTATTGCCGCATCACTTTTTTGCTATTGCCGCATCATTTTTTTGCTTTTGCCGCATCATTTTTCCTTTTCATCCACATTGAAGGCACAGAAATTCAGTTGCTATCCAACTGTTACAAACCCGACGGCAAAGGGCGACAACGATATCAATAGAAGACTGTATATTTTAACTATCAGAGTGCAAAACGACCTCGGGAAAGAAGAAACCATTGAGATCGCCAACCACTGAATGATGCGCCTTCGAGTGTCAGGACTTCCTGCTGCGCGTCCAGTTTTGAACTTTTCACCACGCGGTACACGTGCTTTCACAGTTTTCAGCCTTTTTTTTGCAGTGCAAACTGCAATGAAAAGATCGCCGCACCCCGCCGGACGCGCGTTACGAACTCAACGAAAATTTGTCGCACTAGCCTGGTCGCGCGTTACGCCGCACCCCCCTGCGTTACGCGTTACGCGGCAACATATATTGCCAGTACGGTACTAGGCATTTCCCAAATCGGCCCGTTTTTTTCGCCTAATCGGCTTTTCGATCGGCTATTGAAAGAGAATGTCCAAATTCGGCCATATTATGAGCCCCAAAGTCAGAATTCGGCTCAAGGCAGTACTTCACCGGTGCACCGCTCGTAACACAGTGTACATTTACATGTACATGCACGCTTTAGAGGCACTAAAACATCGATTTTCGGCGAATGAAATGAATGGACAGAGCATGTCACGTCAAGCGACTGGGGATGGGGGAGATAGCCACCTCGCAGCCACAGGCAGCGTACTCTGCCTTCACCCGCGGCCTCCAGAGCAAGTTTGCCGCACCATGCCCGGTCTCGCTGAGCAGTTAACGCCGCTCGATGATGCAGTCACCAACTGCCTTGCTCCTGCTCTCCTTGGCCGTCAGGTTAACGACACGGAGAGGGCAATGATCGCCCAACCATGTCGCCACGGCGGTCTGGGCCTGACACCTCCATCGTCAGTTGCCCAGCAACACGAGTCTTCAGTTCGGGTCTCTCAGGCGCTGACCGAATGCATAATATTCTACGACAGGACTTTGAGCTGGGCAATGCCATTGCGCGCGTCCGGCAGGCAAAGGCGCAGGCCAGATCCGATACCCGGGATAGTGCTCGAGCTGATGCTTTGCTCCTCCGCTGATCGGTGTCGGCGGACATGCAGAGAACCCTGGATTTGGCAGCGGAAAAAGGAGCCTCCAGCTGGCTCACCTACAGACCTCTTCGCTGTCACCGCTTCAACCTCACGAAAGGAGAGTTTCGCGACGCTGTATGCCTGCGGTACAACTGGCTACCTCCCCGACTTCCGACATCCTGTCAATGCGGGAAGGAATTCTCCGTGTCCCATGCTCTGTCGTGTTCCCTAGGGGGCTTCCCAACCCTCCGGCATAATGAGATCCGGGACCTAACCGCCAGGGCATTGAAGCAGGTCGCCCATCAAGTTGCTGTGGAGCCCCACCTTCAACCACTGACAGGGGAACAGCTACGGTACCGGTCTGCCAACACCGATGACCAAGCCCGGCTAGATGTGGCAGCAAGTGGCATTTGGGGTGGGTGATTCGAGCGCACCTTTGTTGATGTTCGGGTGTTCAACCCACATGCGTCCTCGAATCGCTCCAACTCGATTGCCGCTTGCTATGTCAAACATGAGCGGGAGAAGAAGAGGGCATATGAGCAGCGGGTTCGCAATATCGAACATGCCTCCTTCGTCCCAGCCGTCCTGTCCACCACTGGGGGCATGAGCAGATGCGCCACTGCATTCTACAAGAGAATTGCTAGTCTGCTAGCTGAGAAGACCACCGAGCCCTACAGCAACGTGATGGCCAACCTCCGCTGCCGCTTCAGCTTTGCATTGTTGCGTGCCAGCGTCATGTGCCTCCGTGGGGCTTGCAGCACATTCACAGCTCACCTCACTGCTGGTATCCCGACATATCACCGAACGACAGTTCACCGAGCGACAGTTCACCGACCGACAGCTCACCGAACGACAGCTCACGGAATACCCAGTTCACAGAATGCCCATTAATTTTCACCGAATGCACAACTCACAGAATGACAGTTCACCGAGCGGCCAATTCGCCGAACAGACATTTCACCGAAAGAAAGAAAAAACAAGGAAGGACGGAGAGAATTTTGGATTTTTTAATATATTTCAAGGATTCCCCAGAGGCCACTAAGCCTATCGAGGAGGTCTCCATTTGTCTACAGAGGTGAGCAGATCAATGAAGAACAATAGACAAGCAGCGAAAATGTTGCAATCACTCCACAACGTTGAAGAATTTTGAATTTCGACAATAGAAGGCTGGTTGATATACAGTCAGACCTCGCTACCACAGAGCTTTTATCGCATTTAATTGACCATGTAATGTTTACATGGTTGTGTAATGTTTACTAGGGTTGAAACGATTATACCAAAAGCGATGGATCTAGCTAATCATTACGGTTTTGATTGTCTCATATTTTTCACCCAAAACGTACTAAAATGAACCCTTACTGTTGATGTTTCAACCAGCTAACACAGTGTTTTACTCTTACCAGTGGTGATGATTGGAATAAGGGATTGATTCAGTAAAAACTCGCTGCTTTTCAGAGCTATTCTTCCATATTTGTAATTTTTGTGCTTGCCAGTTCGGTCATTTTGGTCACAAGTTAACCGTGGAAATGTAGTAATTTTTGCACGCAAACCCGACACATGCACTCAGTGGTTATGCGACGTCTGACTGTACATGATTGTACTACATTTGCCACATTATTATTATTATTATTACAAAAAATGTATTATCTACGCATGCATCTACGCAAGAGTCACCACCAGCCAATTAGGACATGTGTCAAAGTATTGAACGTTTTCGTTCCCTTCTTGTCAAAATACTACAGGGAATGATGGAAATAAGCTAAAAGACTACAACTATAAGGAAAAGAAGTTCAGAAACATATCACTCCAATTATGTGTAGAAGTGACACGAAAAAATAGATGTGAAGAATCAAAAAAACAGCATGCAAATCCAATAAGTGACAAAAACGTAGTGACAAGAAAAAGAGAGAAATATCAAGAGATCTACTTCGCACCTTCACATCGATTCTTCACATCTATTTTTTCGTGTCACTTCTACACATAATTGGAGTGATATGTTTCTGAACTTCTTTTCCTTATAGTTGTAGTCTTTTAGCTTATTTCCATCATTCCCTGTAGTATTTTGACAAGAAGGGAACGAAAACGTTCAATACTTTGACACATGTCCTAATTGGCTGGTGGTGACTCTTGCGTAGATGCTTGCGTAGATAATACATTTTTTGTAATATTTTCTGCCTCCGTCCTACTTTCAAATTATTATTATTATTATTATTTATTCACAATCACACATAACGTGCAACCAGCGCCAGTAGTGGCAGTACGTCAGTGCCAGCATTTCAGCCCTGCGAAACTCAGCGCCGGTGAAGTAAATTTAGTTAGCCTGACTACGAACCAGTCATTACAATTATTTACAGTAGAATTTCGGTGAGCTGTCTTGTCGGTGATATAGTCATTCGGTGAAATGTCTTTCTGTGAAGTGTCTTTCGGTGAATTGTCCAGTCGGTGGATTGTCCATTCGATGATTTGTCTTTCGGTGAAGTGTCTTTCGGTGAATTGTCATTCGGTGAATGGTCGGTAAACCGCTGACCCTGTCTCTGCTGAGGTTGTTGTTGCAGAAGCTGGCGTTGCCCGTTTTTGATATTATGGGCATGTGTTTCTGCGGAGAAGGCGGAGAGCTGGAACGCAAACAATATTACTTTATCATTTTGGTCATCTTTTGTATTTTCATGACATGATTGTATCGGTTTATTAATTTTGCCCGTACAAGATACAAGAGGCTTCGTAATGGAAACAAAATTCGGCGAATTCAGTGCGAAATTTGCAAATTCGGCGCAATTTTCGGCGATTTCTTCACAGCCATTGATTTCGTCGTCTTTTCCTGCTGACCGATTTCGTTATTGCAGAAAGTCGCCATCACCTTTCGCAGTATGATGGTTACAGGTATTTGCATACTGCTGAGGGGGGTCAGTGAGGCACAAAACATCGAATTTCGGCGAATTCAGTGCGAAAACTGCATACTAGTATTCGGCGAAAAGATCGGTGATTTCTCCAAAACCACAGTTTTCGGCGAATTTTTCGGCCGGCCGATTTGGGAAATGCCTAGCCGCTAGCCGCCCCAAACTTGTTTGCCCAGGAGATTCACTACCTGATTCCCCGAGAATATGTAATTTTTTGCGTAGCAATGCACAGATAACTAACACTTTCTCACACACTCCATATCGTTTTGACTCCAAATAATTAATTGGTAGGCATCAATCCACTTATAAGTAGCAGTGGTGAGGCTTCCTGCAGCTTCATTCATACATGTAGGAAAAAAGGTTTCAGAGCAGACTCGCTCTCTTCCCATTCACTGTCATCAATCCAGACACTGATAATTCGCAACCTCTTTCTTCCTTTATATTTTTTGTAAACACTGGCACATACCGGCACCTTTACGGTACCCACCTTGTACCCATTCCACTTCCCCATACCTAGATCTAGCTTTACTTGACATTTCTGTTTCCTTCTTCTTGGTGCGTGCTTGTGGCTAGGCTCCGGCGGATTATGCTCTCGAAATCATGGAATTATGCTTTCATGGATTCTCGCATTATGCTCGCACAATCCTCATGTTATGCTTTGGCACGTGGGGATACATACCGGTACATGTATACACTTGGTTGTACTTATGGAGCCTCAAAGTTCGGAAAATTGTGCCTTTTTCGTACTTGCAAGTGACCATAAGTATGTACAACAAAATACATGAGTATCCCCATACCAAGCTTTGCAAGGTATCCGTGCATGCTAGAGATCAACATGGAAAAGAGAAAACATTACTTCTTCTAAAAGTAGAAAGGAAAAGGACATAATGGAAACGAGTTAAGAGTAACTCTCCACCACTGTAACTAGATACTATAATTATACAGTCAGAAAGTGCAACAACTTTCTACTTTATTATTGGCTCAATACCCGAGTTTCAAATTACTTCTTCTACTATTCATTAGTCGACTTCTTTTGTAAAAAGATTTTTTCGTTGCCAAAATTAATTAGTTTGAGTTACCTTTTAAAATTATCATCATCAATCACGGTTCAACTGTCTTTGCAATCGTCATACTCGTCCAACCGATGTCAACCTCACCCTGTGATTAATCAGCTCATCTCTCCCATAGCTCCATCTCTACTTCCATCATGACCGAACATCAACTTTACCTCAATTTGTAATTACAAAGGTCAAAAAGAATGGTTCCACCAATTATATACGTCCGTTGTAACGCTGCGTTTCATGCACGTAGCTAAAATTTAATGTTAAGGCAATCATCAGACCAATTTGTAATCAATTTGTAATTAGAACAATATCCATAGCCTGCGCAGTCATGGCCGCTAAATCCAGAGGTCATGACTTCGTAACATGCGTCATGTACATGTTTTTGCAGACTACCCGTCACTATCTCGTTCGCCCCGGGATGCCTGACAAAGGCTGATTCACTCGCATCTTCTGCTACATGTACTGTATCAGTGTGAGAAAGAACTTTGAAGAAGACGAGTTCGAGCATACAATAATGTATTGCCATGATTTCTACCCTGCTTTTCATTGAAAACACGATCTGCATGACCTCCGAACCCTTTACCATGCAGACCACCAGCACTGATCATGTGCATTGTACACAATTGTGTAGCCTACATACTACATACTAGAACTGTAGTAGACAATCCGGTGTAGTTATGCTCATACCTTCGAAAGGATGCCAAATTATGCTCCAAATCTTCAACCACCAAATTATGCCAATAATTACATGATGCCGGCATAATCAGCCGGTGCCTACTTGTGGCATTGAAACCGAGACCTTTGGTCGGTAGAGCCCCTGGACGCCTGGTACCTCACCATCACTGCTGCACAGTGCAGGCCCTACTCAGTAGCTGTTTGTTTTTTTGTCCACATAATCATTTATTTTCCGAGCTGGGTTTGTGAATAATAGTAGTAAAGAAAATAAAGATAGGCGGTTATGTACTTGCTTTTCGAGCACAGTCTGTCAATGAAGTTTTCGAGCATTATCCACCAAGTCTGGGGCCAGACTGGACTAACCGGGTCCGGCTCCTGGTCACCAACACCACCAGCAGCAGCAGCAGCCACAACAGCAGCGGAAGGACCAGCAGCAGCCGCAACAGCAGCGGAAGCAGCAGCACTCCATCTTTTATTCTATCGCCGTTATAATACTTTAAATATTGGGCGTCACTGATACCCGTTTGTTTTGCAATGTAAAATAAAACTTCAACAAAGTTTAACTTCAGACCGATCATATCATCACGTGCACATCCCGACTGATCACTACAATCAGAATCTGATGATGTATTGCTCAGGATCATCATGTGATTTGGTCTCGGGCTGATCACATCAAATGTCCTCCGGCTGATCACATGACATGTCCTCTGGCTGATCACATGACATGTGTCTTCAGGCTGATCATATGTCCTCGGGCTGAACACATACATCACACGTTGTCAGGGTGATCACATGCTATTCAGAGTGACTACAGGTACAGTTCATTACGATGCATGACCATAGTGGTCATGTGACCTATGGTCAAGATGGTCACATGACCATAGTGGTCATGTGACCTATGGTCAAGATAGTCACATGACCATAGTGGTCATGTGACCTATGGTCAAGATAATCACATGACGTACATGTACGTGTATGTTTATTGTTTAGACTTCAGTTTCCAGATCGGAATCCTGACTGAGATAAGGAGAATGATTGGCGGCGGCTGCAGTGTCTTCGGCTGTTTTCATGCTGAACGGCTGTGAGTTGCTGAGTGTGGGCCATCCAGTGACTGTGTCAGCTGCTGTTCCTGTGTCCGCTGCTGTTCCTGTGTCAGCTGCTGTTCCTGTGCCAGCTGCTGTTCCTGTGGTGGCTACGGCTTGTTTGCTTGACGTTGGTGTGTTTCGTTTCTGGTGTGTGTCCGCGATCCTGCTGCTGCTGTTGCTGCTGGTGCTGCTGCTGGTGCTGCTGCTGCTGCTGGTGGTGGTGATGGTGCTGCTGGTGGTGCTGCTGGTTGTGGTGGTGGTGGTATTGCTGGTTGCAGTGGCTGCAATGGCGGGGACTTCACTCTGGGCTCCATTCAAGCTATCTTCAGACGGATCGATGGCTAATTGGCGATGCCCTTTACCCTCTTTTCGGGACCTTAGCATTTCATCATGTCGGTTGTCATTGACAACGTTAGCAGTGATACTGGTGAAATGGCTCCCACCCGCTGGAGTTGTAATATCACAACTAGCAGTGCCTGGTTGAGTACGTGTAGGAGACTGCAGTGATACATGATGCGGTTGCCATGACGCGAGATCTTCCTCACACATGTCCGGTAAGTACTGACGTCTATCGGCAGATCTTTCGGCGTTTGCATCCTGAAATGTGACCTCCCGCGACTGTGGTCGGCTTGTTTCCCGAGATGGTGTCCGACTTGGTCTGGATAATCGGAAATTGTCTTCCGACGGCAGAGAATTGGTCAACGGGTATCCTTTCCTTGACGCTGGTTGGGAATCAGCAGCTGTGTTCGCCTCCGGTATGAGGTGGAGTACGGCCATGAAGTCTTCAAGACTTTGCTCCACCTGACGTTTCCGTCTCTTCATCTAATACAATGTTTTGGTAGAGAAGTGAATCATAGAAAAGGCATGGATGCA